ATTAATAACAACTTATTAAATATGTAATAAATAGTTTATTTATAGAACATATATTATATTTAAATTATTTCAGAATCAATGTTATTCCTTAAATATTTAATTATTGCATAAAAGCTTAAAAGTCAAATGAAATGTGCGTAGAAAGAATGGTAAATAGCAGGTAGGTAAAATTATTGAATTTAAAAATAGATATGTTAATTTTATTAGCAAAACCCGAATGCCTCCGAACAATTACAATGGAGCATTCAAATGGACATTACTTTTTTCCGTAACTGTACATAAGAAAAAGATATATATAAAATACAAATTGAAATAGATAAAATATAGTTAAAACTAGATAAAATACAGTTAAAAATAGACAAAATAGTTACATGAGAAATGGTAGTAGAATTACATGAATACATATTAAATATCACATTAAATCAGTGCATTGCAAATATTCATTAAAATTATAGAAAGCTCTCCCCAACTTTTATGCCAGTTTTTGTTGTGTTTATTTTTTCACATTGAAAATAAGTATCTATACAGACTGCAGCATGATCAGACAATAATGGGTTTATCACATATGCATTAAACTCTATTTCCGATTTAAAATTTACAAATATATTATCTTTACAATTTAACAATCTTGTGTTATCGTGGATCACCTGTTCGAAACCATACATATTCATAATATCGAGGAATTGAACACATTGATTATTTTTTATGTTAAAATCACCGTTAATAATTACATACCTATATGATTTGTTTAAATGTTCTAAAATTTGTGTAAGAATGTCCAAAAATAATAAAAAATCCCCATTTGGTGGTCTATATGCTTATAATACAACATTTATGTAAACGTACCTCCATGGCTGAGATTTCACAGTTCATTTCACTAGATAGATTTTCAATTTTTTTTATTTGCTTGGTTTTGTATTTATTTTTACTTAAGATAAGCGAACCTCCTCTTATGCGCGTGCTTCTTGTTTGATTGATTGATTGATGATTGATTTGAAGGGGAGCCTTTGCAGGCAGCACTTAGGCACACATACGGCCCATTGTGCAAACCCCCTTTTGGTGAAGCTCTGCCTTACCTTACGAGCCCGCAGCTTTTAAGAAAAGCGCAGACCGGCTCTGGTCGGGCATGCATTATTTCCTCTGGTTCCAAGTATCTGTCCCCTAGGTGTCTTAGTCTACTATTGACTAGAGCGTCGCATTCGCAGACTATATGCTCGATAGTTTCGTCTACTTCGCTGCAGTACCTACAGTCCGACTCGTTGCTGAGTCCGGTTTTGTGTAGGTGGTATTTGACCACCCAGTGTCCTGTTAGGACTCCTGTGATGGTTCTTAACTGGTTCCTGTTAAGCTTCAGGAGTCTTTTTGCCTCTTTGCAGGTAGTAGGACTCTTTATAAAGGCCCTTGACTGCCTGAGGCCTTGTTGTTCACGCTATTTTTTCTGGAACTGGTCGTTAGTCCAGTTCCTGATTTTGGTTTTTACCAGACATGAGGCGACCCCTATGACACGTTCTGGCCCCAAGAAGGCCGTATTGCTGCCCTCACGAGCCAGCTGGTCTGCTTCCTCGTTGCCTCTGATGCCTCGATGACCCGGTACCCAGATAAGGTTAACCTTGTTGAGCACACTGAGTAGTTCAAGGGTTTTTATGCAGTCCAGTGTAAGTCTCGAGTTGACCCTTTCCGAGTGAAGAGCCCGGAGTGCTGCTTGACTGTCGCTGCATATGTAGATATGTTTACCCGAGTAGCCTTGATTGATTCTCTTGGGCGCATATCTGGATGGCAAAGATTTCAGTCTGGTATACCGTTGGGTATCGACCTAGTGCAAGGCTTATTCTCGCCACAGGTCGGTCTTCATATACACCAGCTCCTGCACCTTCTTTCATTAAAGACCCGTCTGTATACCAGATGAGCCCTTCCGGTTTGAGAAAGCCTGGGTCAGGCTCACTCCAGTCGTTTCTGGAGGGGAAAACCACTTTATATCTCCTGAGGGGGGTAGACGTCTTTGGCATTGCATCCCTTCTTGTGAGAAGGGGGTCCCGGTTGATAGTCTCAGTCCAGGCCCTTGCATGCCCTGAGTTTTCCCCCCCTTGAGTCCACTGTCCCCAATCGTTGAGTCTGACTGGGGCCTCCCGAGCCCGTGCCTCCACAAAGAGATGTAGAGGCGCCAGTCCCAGTATGGCCTACATTGCCAATGTTGGAGTGGTTCTGAAAGCTCCAATTATGCCCATGCAGGCACCTTTCGACCTTATTAAGAGCTCTTTGCATGATCTCTTTAATAGTGTTTGGTACCCTTCCGGCTACGACGATGACGAGGTCGTCCGCGTAGCCTTGAGTGTATATGCCTTCCTCGTTTAGGATACGAAGTAGCCCATCCAGCACTAGGTACCACAGCAAGGGCGATAGTACTCCTCCTTGCGGGCAGCCTCTGGCTACGGTTGAGCTGATCTCCGTAGTTCCAATCGAGCTTGTAATGATCCTGCTTTCCAGCATGACACAGATCCATTTGACAATGGTATTCTCTATGCCAAAGCCTTCTGCAGCTCTATTTATCGACTCGAAGGAGGTGTTGTTGAAAGCTCCTTCAATATCTAGAAACGTGCCCAGAGCCATCTCTTTAGGACGAGTCCCTCTCTCTAGTCTTCTCACAAGGCTGTGAAGAGCGGTCTCCGTCGACATGGCTGTCCTGTAGGCGTGTTGATTGGGAAGCATGGGAATTCTTTTTTAGTGCCCCGTCCCTAATAAATATGTCCACCAGTTTCTCCATAGTTTTTAAAAGAAACGAGGATAGACTGATGGGTCTATAGTCCTTTGCCGTATCGTAGTTACAACGTCCTGGCTTGGGGATGAACACCACTCGAACCTTTCGCCAGGATTGCGGCACGAAGCCTCGTGCCAGGCAGGCTCTGAAGAGGTGTATCAAGTGCGGTGTCAGTGGTTCTAGGCCCTTTTGTAAGAGAGCCGGAAAGATGTCATCTGGTCCAGCGCTTTTAAAAGATCCAAATGAGTGGATGGCCCACTTTATGGAGCTTCCTGTCACTACCTTTGCAGCTAACTTCCAGTCAGTCGGTCTTACGCCCGCTGGTGGAGCCCGCCTTGGTGGTTCAACAGTTTGCAGGATTTTTGAGCCTGGAAAGTGTTTCCAGGAGCCATTTAAGTGCCTCCCCCGGGGTGGTGCTATAGTCACCGGAGGGAAGCCTTAATGTCCCCAGCTCTCGTCCCGGATCCTTTGAGAGAATCTTTTGAAGCCTGGCGGCTGCTGGAAGCTCGTCTACGTTCCCGCAGAACGTCCTCCACGATTCCCTCTTAGACCTTCTTATGAGATCTTTGTACCTGCGCTGAGACTGCTTGTGGCTGTCCCAATCCGCAGGCGATTTAGACCGCATGGCCCTGTTAAAGAGACTGCGGGTTTCCTTGCGAGCCTTATCGAGGTCAAAGTTCCACCAAGGGGTTAGTGTTCCAGGGGTTCCTGAACCTACTGAGCCCAGCATCGTGAGTTAGGTATAAGCTAAAGAGAATGTGTCTGTGATCTGACAGGGATGGCTCTTCAGACACCTTCCAATTTCTTGTCATTGGGGCCAGGGAGAGGGAGCCCAATGTCAAGTCTATCACCTCTTGTCTTCGTGACGTGACAAAGGTCGGTGTAGTGCCGCGGTTTAGGATTTCCAGATCGGTAGTATGTAGATACTCTAAGAGGCTGAGCCCTCTCCGATTCGTGTTGGTGCTTCCCCACACCGTATGGTGTGCGTTGGCATCGCATCCGATGATCAGCGGGAGGCCCAATGTGCTGCAGTATTCCACTAAATCGATGAGCTCCTGTGTTGGAGGATCGTCTGTCGAGTCATAGGGCAGATAGGCCGAGCATACCACCAAGGATGTGCTCTGTCCTGGTCTGTCCTTAAGGCATAGTTTCACCGCTACTAAGTCCCTAGAACAGAAATTAGCTATTAGTGAGGACTCGATCCGTCTGTCGACGTAGATACAAGCCCTTGGATTTAGTTGGTCGTCCCTCTTGTAGAAGAGAGATCTTTCCCATCTACCTAGGCCCCTTACGCGACCCTTGTATGACCAAGGTTCTTGTAGGAGATATATATGTGTCTGCCCCATAGCTATGTGACGATCTATTAAGGAAATCGCCCCTTTGCTATGTTGCAAATTGCTCTGTAGAAATGAGGTCTCTTTATCCATGGTGGAGGATGGATATAGGACCTGATTTCTAGGTTACGGATGGTCCAGCCCTTGTCCCTGGTGGTGTATCCTCTACATCCACCTGAGCCATGAGCTCGGCCACCTCTTCGTCCACTGTCGCTGTCAGATCTGATTCGGGCGTAGACGTTCCTTCCGATAAGGGAGTATTGCTACTACCCTCCTCGGCTGGAGCCGTCTTTTTCTCCGGCGCCGCTGGAGTGACGACGGAGACCCCTGCGAACGCTTTAAGTTTTTGCCGTTGCAAGACCTCGGCTGAAGCCTCGTCAACTCCAAAAACCAGGAGAACCCTGTTCTTCTCCTCTTTCCGGTGATACGTCCTCCACAGATTTGTCCTAAGTCCAGGATTCTGTCGGTTGAGTCGCTGGGGGTGTCGTCACGTAACACTAGGGGATTTGGGCATTTTTGTTCGGGGTTAAGTCCCGTAGATCCGCAGTCTTTTGCATTGAGCAGCATCACCTCTTGCAGGGTGTGTCTTACGACACGTACTGACGGTCTTGGGTAGGTAGAGGTTAGGGGCTTTCATCGACCTTTGTGGTCTCCGGCTGAGTCACCATTGGTGATTCACTTATCCTACCCCTGGCAATACTACTACGCCTTGATGCCAAAATAAGAGACAACACAATAGTCTCCCAAGACTAGACCTTGGATTTCATGATGTTTTAAAAAATGTTGACTAACACACACTACATCATAATTTTGTGATTGGATAAAGTGTTTAAGTTCATTTATTTTGTTTTTTATTGAACAAACATTTATGTGCATTACTTTTAATGCACACTTTTTGGTTTGGGTTGATTTCATAAAAAAGTTTGTTTTTGTTGCCTGTTATTTCCAAAGTAAAAACGCTTGTATCCTATTTCTTGTGGCCAAAAATCACTTTTGTAGACTTCATCGTGGAATTCAAACGGTAGTCCAACCATAAAGCTTTTTTGCTCGTTTGTTTCCTTGCATAGCGTTACTGAAAGTTGGTTTTCATCACACTTTGTCTTGACTTTTATGTGTTTTAAGACTGTTTCTTCTGTCACTTCCTTTTGAGCTCTCGAAATATGTAGCCACACTTTTTTTGTATGCCTATAAATTCGGAATTGTTCTCCTTACAAGTACTTATTTTTTTATAATAATCGGATTCTTTGTTTTTGGACTGTGACTTATTAGTATCACTTGTCTTGTGGTTATTTTCTTGCATCATTTTGTTGGCTGTCATTTCTTTGTTTAGTTGGTTTTTGACAGCATTTGTATTTAAACTATTTTGCATTGGTGAAATCCTTTGATTAATTTGGTTCACTGCCATCTGTTGATTGGTAGTGGTATTTGCCTGTTTATCCATAACGATATGTTTTTGTAACACTTGTTTATAGCTGGATTTTTTGTCGTTTTTTTCTGGGATTCTTCTAATGTTTTAATTTTCTCTTCTATCTTTTCTTTTAGCAAATTGTTGTTCTCAATTAATATGCTATTTTTACTCACTACTTCTTGATTTAATTGTTTTTGTAGTAGTACTTCTTTTTCGGAATAAGTGTTAACCTCTTCTTCGATGTCGGTCTCATGTAAGCATTCTGGGTTTGCTGCTGCATTTGCTATTTTCCAGCACCCTGGATGAAAGTCATTGTTACATCTTGTGCACTGGAGCTTTGTACGTTTACACTGATAACAAGTCACTAATAAACTCTTATTTTCACTTTTATTCGCAGAAGGTGGCGGATCCAATCCGTTATCGGCGGCCATCTTTCTAATTTTTATTATCTGAAATGTAAATCGGTTGATAAATTCAGTTAAAAAGCACCGATTTAAAACATGAAAAAGAACAACATTTTTTGTTTGTAAATATACGGCGTTCGGAAATAACAAGAAAGTCAGGTATAATGTAAAGTCACCTATACCTATCCTTATACCATATCCAAAGTACTCTCATTTCGAACGCACTCCTGACGTAATCGGCATTTTTTTTAAAATTGTAACCCCCTCTTTTTTTGGAGATTCGAATAAATTATGAAATTGTAGCAATATGCACATTTATACCTTAAAATTTGGGCTGATAGTTTCGGAGATTAATTAATAAAGAGGAAAATTTATAGTTTTTAATAATGTTATGATGTTTTATAGTTTTTATTAAAAAAAAAATTTAATGGGGTTTTGATAAAAAAAAACGTTCTCAAAATAGTTAATTTCAAGGTCAAACTTTTTCAGTTTATTATTATTCTACAATAGCAAGTGTCGATAAATGTTTTCCTGAGCGGTGGATTGGCAGACGAGGACCGATAGAGTGGTCAGCGAGATCAAAGATCATATACTCGTAGAAGACTTGAAAAATCAAAATCGACGTGTCAAAGAAGTTTGTTTGGGAAAAAAGGTACATTTTTTAATGAATTTGTTCCATAGGTACTTTTGCCGATCACTGTATGTAATTCCACAGTAAAAAGTGATTAATTATCTGAAATGTAAATCGGTTGATAAAATCAGTTAAAAAGCACCAATTTAAAACATGAAAAAGAACAACATTTTTTGTTTGTAAATATACAGTGTGGAACTCACTTATGGAATAAAATTCGTTATTCGTTGAGAAAAGTTTTTATGAAAAACGCTCGGACACGTTTAGTTTTTTATTCCAAATCTTATAATGATAATTTTAAATTTTATGCCCCCACCATTTCCCCCCCGCACATTAGGCACCCTGATCTTAAATAACAACCCCACTTTTTTTCATCGAAAATTGATAGTGCACATTTTTTTGAGTATGACGATACCATATAAGTAGGGTTTAGTTTTCAATACAGGGTGGAAATATAATGACAAATTTAAAATCTAAACTTTTTATTTTAAAATTAATTAAAAACTCAAAAATAAACTGTTCTTCAATCTTATAAATGTTCAAAATGTCCCCCGTCCACTTCCTGACACTTTAGTAATCTACTGTGAAATTGTTCCCGCACTCTGTTTAAAACCTCCGGTGTTATGTTCCTAATTTCTCAAGTAATTATGTTTCTTAATTCATCTAAATTAGCAGGTTGTGTTTTAAACACCCTGTTTTTTAGATATCCCCATAGAAAAAAGTCTAGAGGTGTTAGATCCGGTGATCTTACTTGCCATTCTATAAAACCTCTTCTTCCGATCCACCTGTGTGGAAAGGTGTCATTTAAATAATTCCGTACAGGAAGAGCATAGTGGGGTGGGGCACCGTCTTGTTGAAGCCATATCCTTTCATTGGGAAGATTAGGTTCCAATGGATTTGGAAACAACTCTGCTAAAGTTGGGACAACTTGTTCTCTTAGCATATCCAGATATCTTGCCCGTTAAGATATTTAATGAAAATAGGTCCCACCACATGATCACCAACAATACCAACCCAAACGTTGATTTTCTGAGGACGTTAGGTATGGGTGACGTTCACAATATCGAAATTCATTATATCGAATTCAAAATATCGAACACTTTTTATCGAAAATCAAAATATCGAAAATACAAAATGTCGAAAATCAAAATATGGAAAATTAAAATGTCGAAAATGATAATATCGAAAATTAAAATGTCGATTTGAAAATGTCGAATAATTAAAATTTCGAAAATTAAAATGTCGAAAATGATAATATCGAAAATTAAAATGTCGATTTGAAAATGTCGAATAATTAAAATTTCGAAAATTAAAATATCGATTTAAAAATATCGAAAATTAAAATGTATGATTAAAATCGAAGTGTATATGTACAGAGGCGCCTCTGTAGATAAAGTTACGGTTATGCACCGAATTATCTTGGCTCCCTGGCTCCTAGAGATGCGCGTTTTATAGAAATGTACTCAAACTCAACAACACAACCCAACCGACCCCGCCCCATTGGCCCCCCCCCCCGCCCCATTGAGCAAAAAACCCAACTAAAATGGGCAAATTCATGTTACGATAAAAATAAAACACTTTTTAATTACATAAATTAGCCCATTTTAGTTGGGTTTTTTGCTCAATGGGGCGGGGGGGGGCCAATGGGGCGGGGTCGGTTGGGTTGTGTTGTTGAGTTTGAGTACATTTCTATATCAGAGGCGCCTCTGTACATATACACTTCGGATTAAAATAATATTTGTATAATTTTGTATTTTCGACATTTTAATTTTCGACATTTTGTATTTTCGATATTTTGATTTTCGATAAAAAGTGTTCGATATTTTGAATTCGATAAAGTGAATTTCGATATTATGAACGTCGATATTTTATTTTCGATAAATTGAAAATTCGATTAAATAAAATTTCGATATTATCATTTTCGACATTTTAATTTTCGATATTTTGATTTTCGACATTTTGTATTTTCGATATTTTGATTTTCGATAAAAAGTGTTCGATATTTTGAATTCGATAAAGTGAATTTCGATATTATGAACGTCACCCGTTAGGTATGACTTTGTCGCATCCAGTGGGGATTTTCTTCTGCCCAGTACCTGCAATTTTGTCTATTTACCTCGCCATTTAATAGAAATGTTGAATATCTGCAGAAGAAATAACATTCCTGTTTAACATATGCAGCATTTGCTCGCAAAATTGCAATCTTCTATCATAATCACCATCAATCAATTCTTAGGTAAGTGTTGTAGTTTATATGGATGCATTTTTTCGGCTTTTACACATCTTAAAACGGTCGAATGACTAACTTCGTTTTCACGTGCAACCTGACGCGTAGAAGTTGTTGGATCTTCTTAAAAAGCTAATAAAATATTAACTTTCACATTTTCATCAATAAAATGAGGCGTCCTGCGTAATGGTTTAACGTGTCCATATTCACGAAATTGTGCATGTATTTTAGACACAGTTGCCTGAGAAAATGGTGGTAAATCTGGGTATTTTCCATTAAAAAGGTTTGCAACTTGCAATCATCATTAATATTTCTATTCGCAGAGTTTCTGTCAAGTGTCGCATTTTTTAACTAAAATATTAACTGATACTTGGATCTAACAAAATACTTCAAGTAAAGCGCAAAATGTTTCATTAATAATAAAAATTTAAACTGCAAAAAATGTAAACAATGCAAAAAGAACAAACGCAAAAAATGGCATTAACAAAAAACAATAACAAAGCGAAAAATCATGAATATCTAAATAGCGAAAGCCACAACACAAGGAACTAAATCATAGAACTACTACTGTGGTATCGTCGTACTAAAAAAAATGTGCACTATCAATTTTCGATGAAAAAAAGTGGGGTTGGTATTTAATATAAGGGTGCCTAATGTGGTGGGGGCATAAAATTATCATTATAAGATTTGGAATAAAAAACTAAAGTTTACGTGTCCGAGCGTTTTTCATAAAAATCTTTTCTCAACTAATAACGAATTTTATTCCATAAGTGAGTTCCACACTGTATATAAAAAGTTTTTATTAAATGGTTTTGAATCCACCCTAGTAGATAAGTTAGTAAATAAAATAAAATTTAAGTCTTGCCTTTCTAGGTTAACGACTTTTCAAACAGAGTCTACAAAAGTCAAGTTTATGACCATTCCTTTCGAACCCCACTACACTCAAGGTCTGGAAGGGATTTTTTCAAAACTGGACTTCAAAATTGCTTTTAGTGCAAGCGGTAACACTTTAGGTAACCCAAAAGATAAGATTCCTAAAATTGAAAAGTCGGGGATCTACTAAATAAACTGTCAAGATTGTGATAAGAAATATGTTGGACTAACTATACGATCCATCCAAGTAGGATTCAACGAGCACTTGGTCCATGCTAGATTTGGTAGGACAAAGAAATCGAGTGTTGTCCAACATATACTTGATGATGGTCATAGAATAGGATTTGACAACCTTAAAGTTATTAAGGAAGTTGGGGAACCAAGTTTGCTGGATAGTTGTGTGGTATGAAAGTTTATACATTTATAAGAATAGAAATAAATCTTTAAGTAGCGATAACGGACCGGTACCCAACTCTAGTTTGTATAAATTAGTTTGTTAGTTTATCTTTACGTGTTCGCTGAAGCGATTAAGGTCCACGGTTTAGTAAACTGTGTCTGTTTACGGTTTATTTAGTTACACTTCGCTTCGAAAGATGCGTTGGCGAAAAGTACTTTAAGCACTTTGTGTTTTGTTTTGGTGTTGGGGAATATTTCTAATATTTGTTTAACATATCACCAAAGTTGTCCTTTTTTAAGTATTCTACCAGTGATCTACCAGAACCAAGTGCAAAAAGGGTGGAAACTGCGTGTGGCACCTCCTCCTGGATTAAGTCCCAAAGTGCTCTGTGAAAACGGGTGTGAGTGAGGTGATTGGATATAACGAATAATTTTTCCTGGATTACCAACACAGAAACAACACGTGCTAAAAGTTGGCTGTCGTGGTTAAGGAATAATTTCACAACACCTGCCTGTCAATGTACCTGAAGTCCAAGTCTGCATTAACCGGATAAGTAAACCCACCAAAATTGGATGACCTTAATAATAACTCAAGTTCAGATAAACACTAGACAAAAGAAACTCCTCCTGTAGATTACTGAGCTCATTTAAGGGAACTATAAATTACGTTCTATTCGAAATAATAAACAACCGCACAGTGGTGTGCATCAGCAAGATTGGAATCCGACTCGAACAGAGACACGGACACATATGAACAGGAATTACTTCAAGACCAGCAAGGATAGGTCCTAGCCGAGTACTAACCAACTAAGCCCTATTCATGAACCCCAATTTACGGGGTAATTACTAAATCCCTGGTTGAGAGGGACTTCGGATCGTACTTAATTTTGGGTCAGTTCAATGTCCCTCAAAAACCAAAATGTTGTCCCTCCTTGTCCGCACTCCACTAGCCTAATTTGGGCGTATGGCGACCTACTAGGCGAAATTTACCAGCTGGGGTGAAAGCTTGAATCCACCAAACGCTGTGCAGTGGCGGGATACGTAGGAGGAAGAACTGAACTGGGGTAAAATAACCCTTGGAAATCAGTGTAAGGCGTTGCCGATGGGGCCAGCCATACGTTCCTCATATTCATAATCAAAATAAAAGAATAAATAATTAAAAAAATGATCAACACATTTTTAGTAATACAGACAAATCTGCAAAATTCATGCATATATTTTCAGCAACACAGACATATCTCCAAAATTGATGCACACCTTCTTCGGCAACACAGACATATCTTCAGATAGCTCTTATCCAAAAAGAGTATTTTCTAAAGTCTAATTTTTAACTGGCTCAGAATCTTAGTGTGGTTCTTCCTTTGCAAAGAAAATAATGTAAGTTAATATAATTTTACAAATATGTAAGAATTTTATTTTTCAAAAATCTTTGACGTTCATTATCTCGGAATTAAGGTTTTACTACTTATGACACTGTTGCCGCCCATGTGTTCACTGAAGCGATTACGGTCCAGGGTTCAGTCAACCTTAGCTTATAATTTAGTAGATTTAGCATTTAGATTTAGTTACACTTCGCTTCTGAAGATACCAACATCGGTGGCGAAAAGTACTTTAATCACCAAAGTTGTCCTTTTTCAAGTATCTATTCTTGGAGAAATTATCAATCCATCATCAAAAAAATTAAGAGGATAATTTTAATACTTTTTAGGAATCCTTCATATACGCATTAATCAGCTAAGGATCTCTTGAACCCAGATTATTTATGAAAACCATTAAAAGTTTTGTTCCAGCACCGTGGTGCTTGCTTTAATCTATAAAGTGATTTGTTAAGCTTGCACACAAACTTTTTATTATTATTATTAGCCTTCAAACAATCTGGAATGTGCATGAATACTTTTTCGATATTATAATGCGGTCTTCACATCAAACTGCAATATTTCATAGCATGTTTCAGCAGCTATTGCTAGAAGTACACAAATTGAATCATATCGTGTCGTGGGAGCGTAAATTTCATTATAATCACATCCATTTACGTGAAATTTCAACAGTCAAAAGTCTCTTTACTTTAAAAACCCATCTTGATTGTAAAATGTTCTTGTTGGATGAAGTTAACAATGTCACACGTTTCGTTTTTTTTTAATGCTGTCAATTCTTCTGTAATTGCTTTTTGCCACTTTAAACATCGTGCTTCATTGTATGTTTGAGGTACTATGCTCCACACCTCAAAGTCCCACCACGTGACCACGTACGGAACGCAGTCTTTTGAAAATTTGGCATTTAAGGCTTTTCAGGTTATGTATCTGTCGAAGTATAGTCAACGAAAGAAATAATATTATGCGTTAAAAATGTATAAATCTTTATAACATTACAATAACAATGAAGGGTTTAAGAATTTAAGAATATAAATACTGCATTTAATGAAATTCTAAAGTGTATGGTGCCAAATAAGTAATATTTTTGTGCATTTGGTCCAAATATCTGGTTTTCTCCATAAAATAATTTTAACTAAACAGCATTTATTAAAAAAAATTCAGCTTCTCTATTATGGAATAAGAATATCTGTTTTAAAGATAGGTTAATATATTATAACAAAAATATCATCTAATTTTGTAATTTTAAGGTTAAAAAAATTTATTTTGACCAAAATAAATAAGTATTTTGGATTATTTAAAAGACTGTATAATATGGTATTTAAAAATGTGGTAGTTTTTCTTATCCAGCTTAAAGTTTTGTCAATACAAATAGTTAAAAAGCTTTGACTGAACTTGATCTACATTGAAAAATCATTTTAACTTTAAAAATTTTAATAAATCACATGTCATGGGAGTATTAAATATTTTCACATTGCAAGTTTGCTACTTATAATCTAACTTAAAGTAGGTATGCCGAGAGGTATGCACAAGTTTTGTCATTAGAAGTATAAAAGCTTCAATTTAATTTTAACCATGTTCAACAATTATTTAGTATACCTATATTTATTTATGACCATATTAACACACTTCCAAATAATCCACTTATTTATTTTGCTCAAAATAGATTTTTCTACCCTTAAACTACAAAATTAGATGATATTTTTTGTTCTAATACATTAACCTTTGAAACAGATATTATTATTTCATAATGGAGAAGTTAGATTTTTTTAAATAAATGTTTAGTTAAAACTATTTTATGGAGAAATGTAGACCCAATGCAAAAATATCACTTATAAGTTATAATATATATATTGCACCTTACACTTTGGAATTTCATTAAATGCAGTATTATTCTAAATTCTTAAACCAACCATTGTTATTGTGATACTATAAAGATTTATTAACTTTTAACGCTTAAACATAAGCGGTAACACTATAAATATTATTTCTTTCATTGACTATACTTTGACAGATACATAACCTGAAAAGCCTTAAATGCCAAATTTTCAAAAGACTGCGTTCCGTACGTGGTCACGTGGTGGGACTTTGAGGTGTGGAGTATAGTACATCGATTTTATACAAATAAATCTGGCAGGTGCTGTGATACTTTGTTGTGGTCTTAACATTGGCATATCAGGATATGAATCCTCAGGAACTCTATTTTCATCATTAATAGCTGAAATTTCAGGTTCAATTCTTTAATATCATTCAACTTTCGATTTGACTTCTTGAGTTAATTCAGAGTTTTTTGAATAAATTTACTTTTTTTAATTTATTATATTTTCAAAATGCACACGACGCGTCGCACATAGGAGTATTTGTTAAAAAAAACCGGTCAAAATTATTTCTTGCATTTTTTTGCAATGTAATCATTTGAAATACAATATTTGATCGTAATTTTTATAATAAGGCCTAAAAAAATATTTATAGCGTTTTTTTGTAATGTAGTAAAATAAAATTTGAACGTAATTCGGAGTTTATTTAAAAAATATATATAAACATGTCAAGATAACTTAAATTATCCTTAATCAGACAAACTGTTCATCTTCCTCTCCGTCAGCTTCATCTTCGTCAGCTTCATCTTCCTCTGTATCTTCGTAGCTTTCGTTTTCAATTTGAGGTAAAGGCGGTTTTTTTAAATTGATGCTGTGATCCATTGTTCATTGTTTTTAAAAAAACGTTCCTCTTTGTAACTAGCAGCAGTCCATTTATTTTTAAATTCGCTCTTGAAAAGCCTTAAACCGCGACTTTTCACATTATCTGGGCCTTTGGTAATTTTTACAAGCTTTTCTTCCATTAACGAAAACTTGTAATCCAGTTTTTTTTTCCTTTAAATTCATTGAGGATATCATACAATGCTTTTCTGGTAAATGTCTTGACAAGTTCTGAAGAATCACGTGTTACTGAAGTCATATTTGTAGAATAATGAATACATAAAAACACACCAAAGATTATATATACTTTTTTATATCTATAGGTTGTTATAATAAACCGAAATTACATACAAGTTACCTAATTTTCATAGAATTTAATCTATTTACTTTTTTACCTTATATAATATATTAATTTGGAAGCAAAAATACCATATTGTTGTTAAGGTAAAAAAATATCGAGGCTTGCTAACGAAGGAGAAGTAGCGCGCTATAAATTGCCTTACCTTATAAGTTCTACTGCTTCGATCTTGATAAAATTTTGAGAAAATATTCTCGAAAAAATATACATACTTTAAGAATATTTAAGAAAAATTTTGATATTGATTTTTGGCCTAGCAGAACATATATTACTCTTTAAAAACCTATAAGCTCTTCTTCCATTAACGAAAACTTTTCATCCAGTTTTTTTCTTCAAATTCCTTTAGGCTATTATACAATGTTTTTTTATTAATTATCCTAATAGTTTCTAAAGAATATAACGACAAATAAGAAAAAAATATTAAGTTGAAATATTTAAATTTTTTTGATCAATAACTTTGAAGTAAAATTTAAAAAAATGGCGGAAGTAGGCGGACAGTTTTACTTCAGCATATGATTGTCAATAGCCTAAACTTCATATTTATAAAAAAAAATTAACCCGACAAGGCCCGACAAGTAAACAAAAACGTCATTATGTTATATATTTTAGTTAACATGAATACCCAAAAATGACTTAATTAAAATCGTTCGTAAACATATAATGTAAGCAGCAAATTAATAAAATTATGTTTTAAATTAAAGTACATATCTTCCTCTTTCATGGTCAAAAGATTTTTTTCCTAAACTTAATCACAGAAACACACAATAGCAAGGGTAACAAATTCAATGAACGAAAGAATGGGAGGGGGAAATTTTTATGGCTGTCATTTGATGGAGCGGTTATCTAGCTTGAAGAATAATGGGTTTGACGGGATTTCTAACTTAATTTCTAAATCTGACTTTTGACCGGTTTTTTTTAAGAAATACTCCTATGTGCGTCGTGTCAAAAACGCGAAAAACTGATGTGTGTGATGTAAAACCGTCGTATCGCATCGTCGTTTTTTTTAACGACAGTCAGTTGTGTCAAACTGACAGTCTGTGGGGTTTTCAAACAGTAGCGCAGTCGCAAAATGGACCAAATGTAAGCAATTTTTAATAAATTTTATTAAAACGTATAGACAATTTCCTTGCAAGTAGCCACGGAGTACTCTATAGAGTACGCAGTGATGTAGCTCGTAATATCCATAGAATACCGAGACGGGTATAAAAATATAAATAAAAATTTATTTTGTTTTTTATGCTCGTTTTTTAAACAGCAACGTGCCGCCGCCTCTGCTAACAAATGATTTCAGGACAAACAAAAATTTACTGCCAGAATTTCCCGTAATGTGTGGTTAGTGGAGGTCTATCAGGGGAGGCAGTGCTTCCCCATAGACTCTATGGCATAGAGAATTGAAGAATTAAATATAAGTTAAATATTTTACTTTTTAATATTAAAATGCAATATTTCATAGATTATAAAATATTTTATAAATTGCACTTAAAATAGCCCGCAACATTTAAAATATTTGCCCCTGCCTCACCACAACAAAATATCACGGCGCCACTGGAAGGTATTGACATATTGACGTTTCGACACAAAGTTACCATCGCGGCGATACAAACGGATGGGCTCGCCAATGGCTCTTAAAATTTAAATTTGGATAATTATTTTTCTATTAAACATACATATTTTAATTTTTTTAACACCCCTCACCGAAAAATATTTTAAGATTTTCTCTTTACCAATTGTTATTATTTTGTCACTTTTAAATTTATGAATTAAAGATGTTGACCGAAAATTGTTTTTTGCTTAGCACAAGATTAAATTTAATTGCTATTTTTTAAATCAATTTAGAAAAAAACGGATAATATTCAAAGTAAATATTATTTATTTTTTACTAGCAGTGAAAAAATATAGGCAAATACGATACCTTACCTTATTTTTGATCACACAAATTTTTAAAAGTCGAAATTTGTACAATTTTTTTGACTACTTCTCGACAAAATTTTTCCCTGTTCATTTTTTATCGAATTTTCCGTTCAATTTTGTCTTTTTACCGGAAATCCAAATTTGGGGAAAAGTTGCTTTGGGACTGTCATTAAACTTGTTTCCTTGAAAATGGGTCGGATCCGTTAAAACAATTTCAAAGGTGGTCCAGTTTAAATTAAAAGAATTTTATTAAACGATAGTAACAGGAATAATTTTTTTATTTATCTTTTAACAAATTTAGTCAAAATTATCCAACATTTCACATAAGGTTACTCAAAAAGTTAAAAGTTGGTGCAATTTTCTGTCTCATTTATAAATTTATTTAGTTATTATATTTATAATATAATTGAGTAAGAAAAAATATAAATTAATAAATAATATTTAATGATAATTAATGATAATGAAACTTATATACGTAACTAGTTTTCAAGGTTTTACAAGGTCCAAAATACATATACCTAATTAATTTACACAATTTTTAAAAGTGCTAGTCACATTCAAGCAATTTGTCATTTAGATGTAAATACTTTTTATTTTGTTTATAATATATAAATGTAATACCAATACTTAAAAATAGAATTTTATTACTGAAATAAAAATCTTGTCTCAAATTGTATATCGAATTACGAGTAAGAAAATCAGGTGATTATGAAGGTTACTAAACCTGGCAACATTCTTGTCTTTAGGGGCAAAGTCGCCAGAGCTCATTTTGGGGATGAAAATGGGGTAATAAATAAAAAAAAAATCAGTTTTAATTTAACTTTGCGCTAGGAAAAAGTCATGCAATTTTCTTTCAAATGAAAAAGTTGTAGCTCTCAAAAATCCGCGTCGATCTATCTGATCAACCCCATATAGTCTAAGATCCCAAGTAAGGTCGACCTTCACCCATCTGCTTACCAGATGAAAATTATATTTTATCAAATAAAATATGTTTCTGAACATAAACCAATAGGGTTGCCATAAAAAATATGATCAAGGCTAGCTATAATAAATAAAAAATTAAAAAAAAATAATTAATTTTTTAAATTTCACCGACTTGCTTGCCAAATGAACGAAATTCCAATGGAAAGCATAAAACATACAGAATATGTAACAGCTAGGTTGCCTACCTTTTTCTGGTCCCTATTACCTGGTTGCTTTGTACAGGGTGATCCCCTATAATGTCGCCCCCCTTTAACTTTTTTATTTTAAGTGTCCCAAAAAATTTAAAAGTGTGGTTATGTAGGAACTAAAAATTACTTTTTTTCTACGTATAAAGAAAATTGGAAAATTGATCAGTATACAGGGAAAACAAAAAGTTTATTTTTTTCAATGGATCACCCTATATATGAATTTATTTTTCCATTCCTTGTAAAATTCTAAGCATATTTTATATATCATACCATATACCTAAATTCAACCGTTTCTGAAATATTTAAATTATTTTTAAGATAATAAGTTGAAATAGTTTGTCTTTCTCTGTCTGAGTACGCCATTTTTACTTATTTAATAACACTTATTGACATAATTTCACTATAGTAATTTATTTTCAATAAAAATTTTGGTATACTGAGGCTTCTTGATTTCTAACAGTTTAAAAAAACATTTAATGATGACATTTCGAATGCGAATATTTCAGAAACGGTTGAATTTAGGTATATGGTTTGTTATATAAATTATGCTCAGAATTTTACAAGGAATCGAAAAATAAATTCATATATACGGTGATCCATTGAAAAAAAATAAACTTTTTGTTTTTCCCTGTATACTGATCAATTTTCCAATTTTCTTTATCCGTAGAAAAAAAGTATTTTTTAGTACCTACATAACCAAACTTTTAAATTTTTTGGGACACTTAAAATAAAAAAGTTAAAGGGGGGCGACTTTATAGGGGATCACCCTGTACAAAGCAACCAGGTAATAGGGACCAGAAAAAGGTAGGCAACCTAGCTGTTACATATTCTGTATGTTGTATGCTTTCCATTGGAATTTCGTTCATTTGGCAAGCAAGTCGGTGAAATTTAAAAAATTAATTATTTTTTTTTAGTTTTTTATTTATTATAGATAGCCTTGATCATATTTTTTATGGCAACCCTATTGGTTTATGTTCAGAAACATATTTTATTTGATAAAATATAATTTTCATCTGGTAAGCAGATGGGTGAAGGTCGACCTTACTTGGGATCCTCTACTAATATAAAACCCGTCATTATTTGGGCACGGTTTCAGTGTACAAAATGTGTCCATTATTATCCTTTACAATTCCAATTTATGCCTTTATCTACCCCTATCGCGGATTGAAAAATTAAAATCGTATTCCTCGAAAAATGTTGTCTGCCATGGAACAATTTGTTGCTGACAATCTCAGCTACATTTTTGTTTCCGGTGCCGGTGTTGCATGACGCCATTTTGGAAGTGTAAAAAGACAAAACATTTTCAAAATTAGTTTTCCCCAATTATTCTTCCAGGAAAATTTTTTTAACTCGATGCAAATTAGTAGTTGTAGATCTCTAAAAGATGCTATATTTCCAGCCCTAAAAAACCCTTCACCCCTACAAAATATTGTGAAATATTGAACAAAGTTTGATTATAAAAAAATTGAAAAACCGTTAAAAGTTCGATTATAGTTTAAATGTACGAAATTTAGGGATCATTGTTCCTTACATTTTGATCCATATGAACCTGAAATCATCCC